CACCGTTGTACATACATACATATATTGTACTGACTCACCTTATTATCTGAATGAGAGCAGACTCTGTACACTCTTAAGAAAAGGGAAGATTTCATAGGACCTATTATTCAGTACCTTGTAGAAGAGGCTTCATCATCAATTACTTGAGGTAATCATTTTCTGAATGACTGTATCAGTCTCTTATGCACAGCTCTCTTAAGGTCTCCCCACAGCATTTTAATTAAGTTGAGGTCTGGACTTCAGCTGGCCCATTGCAATGCCTTGATTTTTTTTCTTTTATTCTATTTCCAGCCGTTCTGTTGTACATTTGCTCATCGGCCAAAACTTAGTGATACAAAAAGAACAAACTTTAGCTGTCAGATAGATGTCCACACATTTGACTCTAGAATACTTTGGTATTCAGAGGAGTTCAGGGTCGACTGCAAGGTGCCCAGGTCCTGTGACTGCAAAACAAGCCCAAATCATCACCCCACCACCACCGTGCTTCACAGTTAGTGTGAGATGTTTGTGCTGCATTTGGTTTTTATCAAACATTGTGCTGTGCATCATGGCCAAACATCTCTACTTTGGTCTCTTAAGTCCAAAGGAGATCAGATTGTTCAGATGCTGTTGTGAACTTTAACATACAAAATGCTAACCGAGACCATCAGAGTCTGAGATTTAGCTCTTGGGGTTTTTTTGCAGTGTGTTAGGGTTACATGGTCTCGTCACTGTGGAACGTCCACTCCTGGGAAGATTGTGACATTGTGTTAACACACACCCACACACTCCAAACCAGCAAACTACCAAAACTTTTATAGAGGCGCTCACAAGTGTTGACGCTTCTATTCATCAACTGCATTTGATTAGCAGGACTCCATAGAGTCTATTGAAACTCTATTTTTTATGTGACTACATGATAAAATGTGTGAGTATGATCAAGACCCAGAATATGGCAATGCATGCAAGCCAAACACCAAGGGCAAAGGCATATTTTTGAGAAAAATTGAATTGCAGTATTTCAGTGAATACTGAATTATGAAAAACAAAGCATTACTTAAAAACAAAGAGTCATCTTCTCATTAGCAGTCCAGGCCATGTGTCTCCTCAAGCACAGAGTTAAGTGTGTGTGTGTTACGTTCCAATCTACTCTCCATTAAATGTAATGGAGCCAAAAGATATCCCAGAGATTACGCCTCCAACTCTCTTGGCACTCTCCATGGCGAGTTCAAGAGTTCACTGTGAGCCCCCGTGCCCGTACGCACCCCCCCGACTCCACGCACACAGAGAGCACACGTGCCGAAGTTAGTCAGCATGTGGGACAAGGAAGCAAAGACTCGGATGCGTTTTTTTGTTTGTTTGTTTGATGATATATATTTTAAAAATATGTTGCACACCTCAGATGAACAGCACTAGCCTCCTATAAGCGAGCTATCGAAACGCAAGCGAACAGGGGATCAGTGCACCTCCTAGATTCACCCCGTGCTTTCGTCCTTCCCCTGCTTTCTCTTTCTCACAACAGATGCATGAATCATCTCCACTAAAATAGCCCTTGATCTGCCTACACAGCTTTCATTTAAAAGCTACTAGAGAAAAACAAGCAGATTTATGTCTCTGTGAAGCAGAACATAAACCTCAGAGTTAGTTATACTGAGTGATTATGAGGTTACATTTCAATTATTTTTACATGTCCCTGACGCTGTGAAATGAATTGCATGTTATAAAAAAACAAAAAAAACAAGTTGGATTAATTACGAGGCGTCACCTAAGAGTTGTGCGCGCCAGCCCAAATATCGAGATTACCCGCTGGGATGCAAGTGAATCTTGTTGACAGTCTCTCAGTCCAGAGAGAAGCAGGAGTGTGGGATGGAGAGGATATTAAAGGATAAAAAAATGTGATGCTCTGCTGAGAATTGATCCCAAACTGCCTCCTCTTGAACCCTCTCGTTCTCTGCTCCTGTCTTCTCCAACACACTAAACATCATCGCCACATGGCTGCTACGCTGCAGGTGGCCACTATAAAGCAGAGGGAGCCGAGTCATAATTAAGACAGGAACTCGCAGTTCCAAAAACTCTGAGCCGCAGCGTGAACGCAGCCTTTGAGGTAAACTCATTAGAGATGCAAGCAGAGTGTCCCAGTTATGGTGCTTTCCTCCTATTGTGGTGCGGATGTGATGCTTTTTAGTGAATAAAAAAGCATATAGAATCTGATGATTTTATTTTCATAAGCCCAAAAATATGGCGTGCACTGGAGCTGATCTTTATCAGAGTAAACACCAAAGGTCACAAAAGTTCACCAGTCAAAACTTGTTGGGGGTCAGATGGTTTCTATTTTATACCCAGAGGATTTAAGAGAGGTGGAGTTGGGATAATATGAAGCGCACATAGGTGCTCAGACACCGGTACCTTGTGAATAGTTCAAAGGAACCCCGACTATTATGACAAGTTACTCTAAATATGTTACAAATGATCTCCACTACATAAAAACATGCTTGAGGAGTTTTCCGTTATTCATTAATTCATTTTTGGAGCCGTGGGAGCGGCCATGTTTTTGTGCACACAATGTATTCTGGGACGATGACGTGTATTGGTTGTCGGCAGTATAGGCGCTTTTGTTCAGCTAACCCGTTTTGTTTTCTATAGTGTAGCAGCCGTATTAATTAACTTGCCTAGTGACCTGGTTATGACTTGGTAGACCAGCACTATACCGGTCATGGAGGCTAACAAGGGCTGCCCAAAGAACATCTGGATTAAGACATATGGCTTAAAAGTTTTGGTGCACTGTGCTGCATGGAGAATCTGTAAAAATAACGATATTGTAATTTCACTGTATAATAAAAATTAGAATTCTATTAATGTATTTATCGTGCGGTTATGCGATACCATGGATAGATGCTGCCATAAAATTGAGCTCTTTACAACAAACGCTCTCAGTAGCCGCATAGACACCGGTAGTTTTCCCCCACTCTCGCGTCCTCGTGTGACCGATTGTTTTCATCTTCATGTAAACTAAGTACTGGAAAGGTTGAACAGAAGCCATTTCCAGTGCGTCGCTAACTGTGAACTCAATGCGATGCAACCGTATGACGTCACTACCCAGAGTGCATTGAGAAGAAAATAACAATGGCGGCCAACTGGTAAATCGCTTTTATATAAAATGTGCTTAAAAGGAAAACATTTGGCATATTTTAACACCACATATATATTATTAAAAGCACAGTGCATATTTTAGCGCAAACATGTCTAAAAAGCTGGGGTTCCTTTTAAATAAACCAAATATCCCAAACCCAACTTTAAAGTTTTACCCTGTGTCAAACAGTCATTTGGCATCATTTATTTCTGCTCTAAAGTTGGTCATTTTAATACGCGAGTCTATGAGGAGTGGTGCATTTTTGCACCCTCAAGTGGTCATTAGAGGAACTGCATTCTCTGATGTTTTCTCTTACGTTTTCGTCCCCAAAGGCTGTGGATAAAATGAGAAGGACTTTACTCCGACCTGCACAAAAACATTTAATTTCTACATTTGAACTGTGAAATTGTCTATTATAGATATAAATCTATTATAAAATGTTGGGAAGGAGACAGAGCGTGGTCTGTCTTGCACAAAACTCGGGTCGCTGAAGTTCTTCCGTACCAAACAGGCTTTCATTTCCACGTGTAGCACAGTGGGAGTGGAAGCAAAAAAGATTATTGTCAAACCATTGCCACAAAGTTGCAAATATCAGTGTATCTCGGCTATGATTAAGTTCACCAGCTCAAACCGGCTCATGTGTTTTTGCTAACTGCAAAGTACATAAAAAGCTATTATGTTTTCATACTTAATGGTTAAAAACCTGTTGACCTCTTTTGAAATGACTGATCAGGTTCAGAGTAAAAAAGTGGCTGACATGTCCTTCATTCTCCTGACTCACCGTACAGTACTGCTCCTGTTTAAGAAGATTAAGCGTTAAGTCTTTCCTCCTCTCAGTCCTTTCAAATCCGTCATCAATCAGAGCTTTCATGTAGGTGATGGATCCGTGCCATGTGCCGGCCTAGCAGGCCGCGTCGGGCATTTAGCTCAGGCTGGAGTCTAATTTGTTTTGCCTGCAGTGGGCAAAGTAGCTATCAAGGCAACATTATTCGTCAGTGGGGACGGAGCAGTAATGAAAAGCACTCAGATGGGCAGGGGTGCCCAGAGGTCAGTGTAATGGAGGCGTCCTGTCTCGGTGAAGTCTCTCAGTGAATGAATAGCTCCCCTGCATACCAGTGTGAAAATAGATTTTGAGCATCTGGGGGTATAACAGCGCATAATTTTGCTGACCACAGTAGGAAACATTATGTTGAAATCATAAAATGTATACACATTTAATTGAAGCAAAGTGGTTTTGGGAGCTTTTTAGATAAGATAAGATAAGATAAGATAGAACTTTATTAATCCCTCGGGTGGGTTCCTCTGGGAAATTCGACTTCCAAAAAAAGCACAGCAACGACCGAAGTTACAGTTACAGAACTGTTATATATATATATATATATACACACACACACACACACACATATATAAATACAAAGACAAATATAAATAAAATATACAAAGGGGATAAATAGAATAAATAGGAATAAAAAATAAAAATACAAGTGAATTGCACATTTCAAGTATTGAGTCTATTGCACTGTTGACTATTTACAAAAAGTATTGCACAAGGTATTGTACAGTGAGGTGAAGAGGCACTACAGCTTAGTACAGTGAGGTGCAGAGGCACTACAGCTTAGTACAGTGAGGTGAAGAGGCACTACAGCTTAGTACAGTGAGGTGCAGAGGCACTACAGCTTTTATTGCAAGTATTCATTGTGCTGAGACCGAGGCTTCATTTTTCTGTCTCTGCTTCTGCTTGATTGCAGGTTTTATTAAACTAAATGACAGGTTCTAGTTTAAAGGATCTGAAGGCAACGAATGCATCACTGATTAGCCAGGTGTAACACGAGCCGGCACGTTTCACCCATGTCAGTGTCTGCCCCCCCCAAACCCCCTGCTCTACCTGCAGATAACAAGGACTACGACGCCTACTTGTCCTACACCAAAGTGGACCCGGACCAGTGGAGCCAGGAGACCCGAGAGGAGGAGCGCTTTGCCCTGGAGATCCTCCCCGACGTGCTGGAGAAGCATTATGGGTATAAACTCTTCATTCCAGACAGGGACTTGATCCCCACAGGAAGTAAGCTCTCTCTCTCACGGCGATGTCACGTTGTGTCGAATGTTTTCTTGTCGCTTGGTGTTGCTCGTGTTGCTGTTGTCGCTGCAGTGGTGATGCCTTGTTTGTTGTTATTTTCTGTTATGCGTTTGTGTTGTGGCATAACAAAGACTAGCGAGGCCGTCATTGCTTCATATGATCTTTATAAAGTTAGCTTTTATAACCAAAGGCTGAGCAAAAGTTGATGAGTATGCTAAAAGTGTTATAGCTTAGAGTTTGTTTAGTGTTATTTATTCATTTAATTTCAGTTTTAGTCTTTAGTTTCCTTTAAAGGCAACATTTATAAGAGAGAATATATGGCTAAGTATTAAATCATGGGACATAGCTAGCCCAACCTCACGTAAGCAAGAAACGAATTATGCTAGTACCAGTTCAGTTCTGAACAACCTCTTTAAGTATTATACTCCTAAAAGAAACCACTTCCTCGTGTAACGTCTAAGCACTACATGTAGTCAATAAAAGGGCACCAAAGATGGGGATATGAAATGGATTGCTAATGGAATAGATGGATAAAATAGTGAATCAAGATTGTGACATATGAAAATTAAGGGATAAAAGGTTGACTATTTAACTGCTTCTACCTGAAGGGAAACTCAACCAAACCCACTTTAAAAACCTGCTGGATCAAAATTTTATTACAAGAATTCTAAAATAATACTATTTTTTTTATTATTTATAAGGGGACCATGAATTAAGTTATCTTCAAAATATTTCGCTCATAGTCAGAAAATTGTGTTCCAGTATTAAAAGCTGTATCTAAGGCAGCGACCACTTGCACTATTTATAAAAAATAAAAAAGGCATTTAATTGTATCCATTAATCCTGTGTGCAGTAACTTTGGGTTGCATATATGATACAATATGAAAGGATGTGCAATATTTGATACGATGCGATGTGATTATTTTAGGGGGTGATCTTGGAAAGGCACCTTAGAACGAGGGTTCGACTTACGAGGATTTTTAAGCACAATTCCGTGAACCTTTTAAAGTTTGCCAGCAATGTTACAAGTGCCTCTGAAAAAACGACTGCAGTTTAGCTTGGCTAGCCTGAGGGGTCCACCCCTGTTAAACATTTTCATAACATTTTAATGAATCAAATACAAAAACTGATCAGTGAAAAACTGGTTGTACAGTTGTTGATTATTTAAACAGAAAAACGAATTCTTATTTATCTCAACTTTTATTTATTTATCATAAACTTAACCTTTATTCCACATTTCAATCCAAAACAAGCTGTGTCTTCTGATAGGCTGCCCCTCGACTGGCTTCCGCAGTCAGTGCTTGTAAGCTCTGCCTTGTTATACAGACCTGTCTGTTACAACGGAACAAAGCAAGACCAAACCTTTGAAATCATGTGTTTAACGTTGTCTGAAGCCCGAGTTTTTGGCTCACATAAATTGTTTTGAGACACTTTGAGGCATAATTATTTGAAACTTTAGCCACTTTTAATGTGAGTATCCAACCAGTTGTCAACAGGATATATGAAAGTACATGTACTTTACTTCAATTTTATTCCACTTCATATTTCTACTTTATGTATATTCTTGATTTAATAAGTAGATTAAGGTACAGTATATAAATTATAACTTCAAGTAGGCAACATAAAACATTGAAATGCTAGGCAAGGGCTGTACATACTGGTTAATTATTTATCTGCTTTAGCATTTAAAGTGCATGATCTGCACCATTTTAAGCCTGTGGGAGGCATAATAACCTATATCACATATGCAACATAATTATCAGGAGGAGTCAACCCTGTTATTACGGTCCATGTTTCTAATCCAGCTCAATACAAAGTGTGCCTCTGCATGCTGCTATGTAACGATGTCAGCCGTACAATCAAAAATCTCTTTATGCATGGATATTAATGCATGTTTTACCACAGTATATTTCTAATGGAGCCTCTCACCGTGCCCTGTGCTTATCTTTGATTAACTGATCGCAAAGATGAGCTCGGTATCATGATGTTATTAGCATCCGTTTGAATACTTGCAACTGCCTGTCTTTCCTGCACATAGCACCATTACTAATTATGCTCCTCCTCAGTGGAATTGTGCAAAGGTTGTAAACCAAATCCCTTGCTGTGATTACATGCTCCATACAGGGGGACTGTTGTAATATGGGAAAAATGGCATAAAAATGCAAGGATGGAGAGAAATCTGAAGTACATCTGCCACAGTTGCAGCTCGGTGGCACAGCTTGCTGGTCTATCATGTCTATGTATAAACATTTAGCTCCCATTGGGAATGTATTAGCATCTCAACAGCTGATATAATAAAGTGTAATCCACAGCTATAGATAAACACAGTTTGGCCATTTGGGACGTCAGCGTGTGTCAACAATCTTTCTCCTGAGCTGCTGATTGTAACATGTAATGCCACAGTATGCTGGGTGAACGTATTATACCACTGTTATACGTTTCTGACACACTCATCTAGTGCACACTGAGTATTTTTTTAACATATACCAGAAGTAACAAGTCTTGGCTGAACTATGTCCAATTCCTTTGCTTTTTTATGCTACGTGTCCCATATTAAACTGGAATAAACTGATCAGCGTGCTTATCGTTTCACAATCGCTACCAGCGCATCAGTGGAGAAACACAGTTTATGCCAGAGCCATGTCCCCGCATTCACACAATTGTTTTTAATGTAAACAAATGTTCTGCGAATCTTTTAATCGACCTTTGAATGTAAATATCTATGTTTAGGTTTCACCAATGATCATTTCCAGGATGACACAAGACTACTTAGAGGTACTTCTTCCCCAGATCTTTAACGCTCGTGCCGACACACTCCGACAAAGACTTTCTGATCAGATCAGTAATGTAGAAAGTGATTGTGGCTGCACTTTGTATTAAAAGGCTTTGACATGATTGTTCTGACTGAAAAAAATGTTTGTTTTTAGATAAATCTTTGATCTTTGAGAGCATTTAAAAGTTATGTAGTAGCCATTGAGTGCAGCTTATACAGTCTTTGGTAACACTTTACAATAAAGGACATAAACATGAGGAATCAGTAGCCTGACATCTTGTTAATCATTAATTAGTATTTTTCAAAGTTTTTATAATCACTATGGTCCAGAATTTCACTATAGATAATAAGCATTGAGCTGAGAAATACTACATGTTAGCGCGTCATCTGTTGAGCTGACCAATTTATTAACAGGCCGATATTATTGGTTGATATTGGCTATCTTTCAGTCTATCAGTATCTGTGTTTATAGCGACTGGCAACAATTATAAAATGAAAGAAGATGTTAGAAACACCCTACATCCTTCTCAGGAGTGCTGACATTGCATAGTTTGTCCACCGCTCTGTAAATTTCCTGTAACTAATGTGTGTTTGTAACACCACAAACACAGCAGCCAACTAATCAGAGCCAAGTTGGGTATGAATGAGAAAATAAATAATCTGTTTATGTTATATGTGTCTCAGAGAGAAAAAAAAATCTTCCAATAGCAGCGTTTCAAATTTCTAAGTCATCAAATATCGGTAACGGCACCGTTCATATCCTTATTATTCCCTCTTACTTATTGTTTCATTTTTAAGTTCTGGATCAGTACTTATTCTGGAACAGCTGATAAACGTATTAGTAACTGTGTAAGTTACTGTGTCCATTAGTATAAAGCGTTACCAATGCATAAGAATAAACACAGCTCATTTCCTCTGCATGTTTCTTTATTGTGTTTTTTTAAATTAGATGGGCTGGACTGAGGTTGTCAGTCACAAAATGTTTTCAAAAATTGTATTCAAGCTCAAAATATCCGACTGCAGTAAAAAGAAGTGAAATTGAGGTGTAATTTTCTACAGAAATTGTGTATTTTGGTTAGGGGGCAGTGGGAGGGGCATCTGCTGCAAAACACTCAAAGTAGGAAGACATTTATTTCCCACATAGCTAATCTTATTGATCTGGGCTATTTGCACTTTAGACTTTTTTTTAACATTATTATTGTTTTCTTTCAGAGACAAACAATCGAGAGCAGAGCCACTGTGATTTCCTGCCCCGTGTAATTTAGGTTTTATGCAGATGTGAATCAATTATTGCTCATGCAACAGTTTGATTGTAAAGCTTGTAAAATCTCTGAAAGGGGGGATTTAATCTATAAAGCTATAAAGTTTTATCACGCCGCAACCCTCGAGAGGGCAGATTTACTTTCACTTTAATCAATTCAAAACATTAAAATGAATCTTCTACTCATTAGCTAATGATACTGTATCCATTTATTTATCCCTTCATGTTTGTTTTAGTCACGATAAGATGGAAAAACTTAGTTTAACCTAAACTGAATAAACCCAAAGTGAAGACTTTAAGCTTCAGGGACACATTGTGGCAAATTAGCCCATGAGGACCAATTACCAAACAGTAAAGAGACCAACTTGTTGTGTCGATGAAAAGAGCGACTTCAAATCTAAGTTTACTCTAATCAGATCGCTCTCATCGCAAAGCCTCGGGCAGAGCGACTTGAAAGAAGCAGCTCACGAGATACTCTCTCTCCCACACACACACACACACACACACACACACACACACACACAAGGGTCATGGGCTTTGATTGGGAGGTAAAGCCCAGTTAATCCCGTCTAACTTCCAGTGAGGAGACACTTGGTCTTTGTCTCGGCCAAGAAAGGCTAAAAGGAAGCATTAGCTGCACACACATAGAGGACAGGTCTGTGGAAACACTTCTTCCCATTCATCACAACACAAGCAGCTGATTAAACACAATACTGTATTTACTGTATATGATAGATATGAGTCGAAGCTGACAGTGGTGTCTCGCTAAGCTCTGAATCTAAAGCCTCTTGTTACTACAAGTACATCTTCTTATTAAATGCGGCATAGACTATAGCTGTTTATTTAAGTGAGGATCTATAATCACAAATCTATTTTATCTTCACTTTATGCCTCAGTATCCTGACGCCAGATGGTGGAATAATTTAGCAGCGATACATTTTAGAATCTGTCAGATGTGTGATGTTTGTTTCACGTCCTCAGCTTTCGGTCTTTTTTGTTTTTCCCCCCTAAACGTCACACTTTTTCGTCTGGTAATTGGACTTGTTTGTTTGAAATTTTGATAAAAAGGAAGCTGTTGGGTAAGAAGCCGCTATGAGGCCAAGAGAGTTCTTCAAATAGCCTGTGTAATGTGTTTCAGCATATTTTCATCACATATTAGCTCTCTGTAGTTTCATGTACAATTACAGTTTGTTTCGATTGAACAAATGAGCACAATTAAAAATAGAAATGGATTTAATGTTTGGACTGTGTGTAAAAGATGGATGTAGCCACTGCTGGATAGCAAAAGCTGCAGTTGACCGCTTTGGGTGTCGCTGTGTTGTTATTTCAATCAAATCAAATCAATTAAATAAGAGCAGTGCCTGAGACCATAAAAATATGTTTATTTTATTATTGTATTTTGTCGAAACCTCTGGCACATCATACCTGACTGGTATTTGCCACAGAATAGCAGAATTGGCAGGTCCATCATTGGCAATTTGTGCTTTTCACAGATGTCAGCAGGTTCACCCTGAGAAGATGTGAGAGACGTGAAAGGGTCTACAGAAGCCTTTGAGAATGTTATGCTGCCTGTAACATCATCCAGATAGACTGTTTTGGTAGTGGGTCAGTACTGCGTCATGCACTGACCTCTACAGGTGAGGTAACGGCACTCTGATTGCCATTAGTCAACGGGATGAAATCTTTGGATCCATTGTCAGACCCTACGCTGGTAGAGTGACTGTAGCTCAGGTGGTAGAGCAGGTTTGAGCACTCAGAGTAGAAAAGCGCGAAATAAGAACCAGTTCATTTACTGTTTACAGTGGGCCCTGGGTTCCTCCCAGTGCATGACAATGCCCGGACATATGTGGCAAGAGTAATAAGGCAGTTCCTGGAGTATGAAGGAATTGATTCCATTGACTGGTCTCCATGCTCACATCCAATAGCCGAAACCTCTGGCACATTATGGCTACGTTCACTCTGCAGGTCTTAATGCTCAATTCCGATTTTTTGATCAAATCCGATTCTTTTGTCTGCTCGTTCACACTACAAATAAAATGCGACAGCAAACGCGCTCTAGTGTGAACCCTCAAAGCGGCCCGCATGCGCAAAACAAGACGTCACACACAACAATATTGTTTGACTGATGGTCCTTAATATAAAGACTTCGGACTTTACGTTTCCCAATTTTTACTTTAAGTTATTTTGTTATTCACATAATAATGTAAATAACCTAATAATTATCCTTATTGCTGTTTTAGAGAGGAGCGGTGCTTCAAAGGATGATTGCAGACTTCTGTCAGAATCTGCAGATTATACAGTACAAATAAAATGTTCACGTTTCTCCAACGTTGTCTTCCCAACAGTTTCACTGACATCTACACTGGATGGCCAGGAAGCGTTCGCGATGTCTTATCGGGCGCTTCTCCGGAGCTGATAATTGGCGTCTGTCTTGTGTCGGTGACGTAAAAGACGGATTTAATGCGACCTGACCGTTCAAACAGCAGTTGCTTTCTGAAACATCGGATATGTATCAGATTCAGTACCAGATCGGATTTGAAAATATCGGATTTGTGCCGTTCACACTGTCATACCATGATCGGATATGGATCGCATAGGGTCAAAAAAGTTGGATTTGATGCACTTTCGCCTGCAGTGTGAACGTAGCCTATGTTTTGGTCCATCCCACGCTACTAGTTTGTACCTCAGACTGTCCAGGAGTTTAGTGATGCCCTGGTCCAGATCTGAGAGGAGATCCCGAGGACACTGTTTGGTCTCATTAGGGTGCATGCCCCAGTGTTGTCAGCCATGCATTCAAGCACATGGGTGTCATAAAAACTACTGAGTACAATTTTGTGTACTAGACTTAGGGATAATTTTTTCCCTTTCATTTTCAAGCTGTCTTTGAATTCTGCCCTCTGTAGGTTGACTGAGATCTAATTTGATTTCAAAATGTTCCTTAAACTGAACAGTGTATGAATGTATATAATCTGTAGGCAAGGAATGAGATTTTTAGTGTCAGAGGTATCCTCATTTCCAGTTGTCCACATGCAGGCCGCGTTCTATTGACCAATCATGTTTTAGCAAAGATTTGAGGTCTGTGTGGAAAATAGAACAGTTTTGTTGAGATGGAATCTAGAAATGAAAGGCTAGAATTTGAAAATAACTCAGGTCTTTAAATCATTTATATTTACTTGCATTTATAAATTATGCCTGTTGCATAAAGTAGAAGAATGAGCCATTATCTGCTGCACTGTAAGCACCAAAAACCAAAAGCTCTAGACTAGCTGATGAGTTTGCAGATGACTTGTGCACAGGCTTCAGTTTTTAGAGCAGGAGGTTACATTCATCTTTTATATACAGTCTCTGGCTAACAGAAACAAATAATGTCTATATATGATCGTGCTGATTCATCAAAAGATATACTTTTCTGTCTCTCTGTCTGTGAATCCAGCCTACATCGAGGACGTAGCGCGCTGCGTGGACCAGAGCAAGCGGCTCATCATCGTCATGACCCCCAGCTATGTGGTGCGGAGGGGGTGGAGCATCTTTGAGCTGGAGACGCGGCTGCGCAACATGCTGGTGACCGGCGAGATCAAAGTAATCCTGATCGAGTGTGCCGAGCTGCGCGGCATCATGAACTACCAGGAAGTGGAGGCCCTCAAACACACCATCAAGATGCTCACGGTCATCAAGTGGCGCGGACCGTCCAGCAACAAGCTCACCTCCAAGTTCTGGAAGCAGCTGCTGTATGAAATGCCCTTCAAGCGCATGGAGCCCCTGAGCATCTCCCACGAGCAGGTGCTGGACGTCAGCGAGCAGGGCCCCTTCGGGGAGCTCCAGACCGTCTCGGCCATCTCCATGGCGGCGGCCACCTCCACCGCCATGGCGACGGCGCACCCGGACTTACGCTCGACCTTTCACAACTCTTGCCACACCCAGATGAGGCAGAAACACTATTACCGTAGCTACGACTACGACCTGCCACAAGGCGGCACGCTCCCGCCGCTGTCCTCGCTAGGCAACCAGCACACCTACTGCAACATCCCCATGACGCTCATCAACGGACAGCGGCCGCAGTCCAAGTCACCCCGGCAGCAGAGCCTGGAAGAGGCCCACGGCAACAACGCCATGCTGCCGCTGCTTCCCAGAGAGACCAGTATATCTAGCGTTATATGGTGACAGCGCCGGGCGGGGTAGACTGTGGATCTTTATGATGTCTGTCACAGGGAGGACTAACCACTGGCACTCAGACCCTGAAAGGAGCCAGGTGAACCTAAATGGCACTAAGCTACTTGCTGCTGTTGAATTTTGCACCAGGAAACAACCGAAGGAGGGGAGGGGCTTCAAACTGCTGGAGAAGGTGGTGGCAATGTTTTCTTTTTTGTTTGTTTGTTTGTTTGTTTTTTGTCCAATTCGAGCTTTTATTGAAACTGAACATCAACAAAAAAAGAAGAAGAAGAAGCAAGGAGAACTTTTTTTGTATGCCTGTATAAACACTCACGTAACACAAGCCAACACCTATGATCATTTACCCCGAGAGTCGAGGAATACAGGGTCCTGTACATACGTTTTTCTAATTCTTTGTAGCAACAGTGTTTTGGGACTTGTTTCTTCTTTCTTTGGGACTCATTTTTATTATTTTATGTTTTTTATTCTTTTCTTTCAGTTTGTACAAAAAGTGAAGCAGTGAAGGCCTGTGAGACGTGTCGGTTAAACCGTTGTTACCTTTATTTTTTTCATTTGTTTTGCTGGTGTAGTTTCTAAAGTTTTTTGGGGGGGGGGTTAATTCTTTTTATTTTTAATGGGGTTGGGAATACAAGTCACAGCCTTCGGGAGACGAGTAAGATTTGGATTTGAGTTTCAGGGTTGAGAATCTGGCCTCAACCAGAATATGCAAAACTTGGAGTCCAGAAAACACATGGGGAGGGTGGGGGGTAGTGGGTTCCCCCTAATTCATCGAATGCTTTCGGAGGAGTCGTACCTGTGCAGGTGGGTGTGTGGGGTGGGGTGCGGGGGGGGTTGAGGAATATGGTGCTAGGCTTCACATCTCTGTTTCTCTCACAATATTTACTTTTAAAACAGCCTTGCTATTTACCTTAACAAAAAGATTATATCACTGAGAAGTAATTATGTGTATTATTTTATGAAAAAAGAAAAGTCTATTTTTGTAACTGAGGGATATTTGCTTAGAGAAGTTATGACATTTCTGACAGAAGGAGTTGGGGAAATATCTAGTAAAAGAAAAAAAATAAGAAAAACGTTTACGTGGAACTGCATAGCTCACGAAAATCAATAGGTCGTTCACTAAATGTCTTACCCTTATATTAAAAAACAGAAGACGTTTGTGTTTTCGTCGTTACAAAGGGGGGGAGAGGGGAGTTTCGGCATTTCAAACGCACCGCTCACAGCAGCGCGGCAGACTTGTTACGTTACATCTGTCGATCTCATCTCGGCGCTTCACAGTGGAAGTAGCTATCGATGATGTCAGCGCGGACGGAGGAGGAAAGCCATGACATCCACGGTCACCTGAAGCATTAAGTCCACCTGCTTTCCTCTGTAGGACCAAACAAGGCTGTCCAGGGCTAATCTCACTTATTCATTTGCTCTCAGATGACAGCTGTTATTCGTTTGCCGTCCACCATGTCAGTGGAAGTGAGTTGAGGCGCGCTCTCTGATAAATAAAAACAGGCCTTGCACATCTCACTCAGAGGGCAGCGGCGGTAAGCCTTTCATTTCAAAATGAGTCGGAAGATACCGTGCAGAAACGTGCTAACTTATGAGATGTGTAGTTCTTAGTATGAAAGTAACATTTAGAGGATTATATTTTTTGAGCTAATGACCAATAACCACCTGAAAACCAATAGCCTTTTAGAATCAGTCCCTTCCAAACGATATAATTAATGCTTAACAGTGACAAGAATTTATTTAAAAAAATGCTAATTCAGTCTCAGTTTATATATAACTACAGTAGAGATGCTACATTAGATCAAAGCAAGCTAAAGCCTACCATTCTCAGTCACGAAACTGGTACAGTGTCATGCAGTTCAGATCTGTTCTCGCATAGTAAGATTTGAAATGTCGGTATTTTGATGTTGCGAACCTTTGCAAGTCAAGCCAGCGATGGATCTGAAACTGAGGAACGTGAACGCTCACACTGCCAGAGGTTTCTTCCTGTTAAAAGGGAGTTTTTCCTTCCCACCGTCACCGAGTGTGTGCTCACGAGAGGCGACAGGAAGCTTTCCATTTTCCGGGGGGTTTCTCCCAAATTTGGGTCTGCACCTCGCAGTAAAAAGCACCTTGAGATGACTGTTGTTGTAATTTGGCACTTTTTCACCCACATTCCATTTAATCATCTTGACACAGCGATCGAGACCATAAAGGTTTCCTGAGAGTGCAGCTCATGCGACAGGTACGGTCATTTTTTCCTGAGTTCTTTTCACAGCCAGAGGAGTCGTCTCCACCTGGCCATTAGCAGGAATGCTTTTCTGCACTGGCACTTACGTTTGAGACGCAAAGGCTTTGTCCATCTTCTATATGCAGCCTGTGACTCAGACCCATGAAGGCAGCCTGTGCACTTACTCCTCCTGCAGCTGTGCCATAATATTTGATCTCTTTAAAAAAAAAAACACACGCACACACACAAACTAACCTCATTTTAAATTCCTGCAGCATCTCATAGATGTTTAACTTAGTGCCATAAAATATGCAATGTTATGAATCTTTAAACAATAAATTACATTTGTGTTCTGCCCCCCCACCCCCGCCATCTATTTTCAAAAACTATATTTCAGATGATTCCTGGATTTTTTCTGTAAGCTGAGAATTTTGCATTTTGACTCTTTTTTTTTTTTTTTTCAGTCACCCTACAAATCATTGAGAGCCAGGCCTGCTTTTATCCACTCCACCTGTCCCTCCTGCCAAAAGTAACACGGATTAGAGTGTATTGTGCTCTTTGATGTGGCATTGTGTAAATATGATCAAGACAATAACACGATTAAGATGAAGACAATCTAGCCATATTCATGAAAACCGGTGGTCATTATTCACAACGCCTCTCAAAGTAGAAATGCTACGCGTCCAATCCAAGAGAGATTTCGACTGGAGTCCGATGCTCAGCGCTCCAGCTTTTGGGAAGCCGTGGGAATGCAAACTTTTTCTTAGCGGGGGGGGGGGGTGATACGCACTATTGTTTCACAACGACGAATTGGGAGCTTTTCTGGTGGCTGGCGTGGTTTTGACGAGTGACACGGTGACAAACGGTGATGAATAACAACGACAATATATAGCACAGAATTATTCCAGGCACTTTCACGACTCGTGAGACGACGTCTTTCCTGTTTTCTGATTTATTTTCTATTATGTATCTGCAATGTTCATTAAAAGAGATACTGTTATTATTAATAAAACCACATTTATGGTAATGTTACTTCTCAGTTGTTGTGTATGCTGTGTGTGCAGAGTGGGTTTTGTTTGCTGAAAGAAGAAAGAAAGAGAAAAATGCCACCCAGCTCACTTTGTTTATGGAGCGCCGGCATAGTTTGCTGACGGCGCCCGGATCCCTTTTCTTGGCAGAGAGCCGATAACGGCCCCGACCGCCATAACTCTCGCGTCTGCCGTAAAACCTTGAAACAACAATCAATAAGTCTCCTTATTCCACTCAGAGACTGAATCAGAACCGGCCTCATTTTAGAATAAGACTAAATCAAGTCACTGCATTGAGGAACACTTTAATCCCCCCTCCACAGCCTGATTGTTGTTTGACCTTAATGCACTTTTGGCAGCAGACACGCAGAGCAGGAAATGGATTTGCTGCTCAAGTACTAGACGCATTTATCAAGCACCTTTTGAACACGTCTCGGGATTTTTGTTTCGACTCAAAGTGCGATTTTTGCAGCGAGAATAATATATGTCACTGTGTCAGGCTGTTTGTAGGAACGATTCAAAGGTGCAGCTTCATTTATGTAAGTGGATCTTTTTTTCCAGTGGGAATTAGTCCACTGGAAACTACAAGCAAGTTTGCTCAGTGAAACTGTCACATTTAATGTCTCTAAGAAAACTGGATGCTTTGTCTTTCTGCATGCTTCGAGGCAGGCAGACACTATTTTATTCTTCTTCTCCCACTCTCCTCTGCCTCAGAGCGTTGTGCCCGTAGTGCAGCCATTTACTTGTTTGCTGTGATCAAAGCAACAGCGGAGGAGAGAAGGAGAAAAACCCAAAAGCACATGGGGCGGGGGGAGAATCACGAAGATTCTGCCAGACAGCGTTACTCAGCCCCGGCTACTCGTCTTCAATGAAAAGAAGCTGGTTCGGGTTGAGCAGTTGTAAGCCAAATGAAATAGAAAGACTTATGTTATAGTGAAGTTGAGCTGTTATTTATTAGGAATATCTCCAGCTTCTGTCGGAGTAGGAAGCTAGCACCTCTGGAGCACTCTAAAGCTGTTATAGCGCAAGTGGAGCATTTACTCCTCAGAGCATTATGTGAAGGAGGCGCAAATGTCAGGCTCATTCAGACAGGATATTTAACCAACCAGCTCTTTGGTGCAATTTACATTTCTTGTTAGGAAAACAGTGATTTGTTGAAATATCTGAAAATGTATATGGAAATACAGTGTATAAAAATAACTGTACAGATTTAATGAGCCTGAAAGTCAATATTTGGTATGATGACATTTATTCTCCAGCACAGTCACACTTGTCATGTCTTTAAGGAGTCTTCAGGAATAGTTCTCCAGACTTCCTGAAGGACATTCAAAGCTCTGCCTTTTCTTCTGTTCTCTGTCAACATGATCCCACACTGCTTCAGTAATGTTGAGGTCCGAGCTCTGCAGAGGCCAATCCATGACTGATAATGTAACACTAGGTGCTTTTCTACTCAGGTACCGTTTGCAATAATGCTGAAAAATGAAGCTGTTGAGGTGCTGTCCAGGTGGAATTGCATTGTGGGTCTCCAACACCACTGGCTGAAATGCAGCCACAAACCATGGCACAGCCTCCACCGTGTGTTACAGAGGGCTGCAGACACTCTATCCTGACCTGAACCACATTAGGGTTCATCACTCCACCAGACCTAATAAATTCACTCAATTTCTGGAATAATCTGGGATACCTCAGCCTTTTCTCCCTGTTTGCCTTCATTAAGAATGGATTTTTGACCCTTGCACTGAGAATATTTTTGATGAGACTTCAATGAACAGCAGATGTGAAAGGTTTTCAGTTAATAGCTCTTTGGGATTCATCTTAATAGTGCAAAAATACCATTTTATGTTTGTCAGACTGTTTTATCCTTGATATTTTTCATAAATTCAACTAAAGAAATTAGAACAAATAACGTGTTTTTGACAAGCTGCTAGAAGCAAAGTGTTCTTTGCTAAATTATCTGTTAAGTATAGACAACACTGGTTCATCCCTCGACTTAGGTGTTGTTGTTGTGTTTGAATGATTGATCAGTGAACCAAAACTTAAAACAAATCCCTCGAAAATGATGCAGTGAAACAAGTGAAAAAGCAGCCAATGTACAAAGCAAGCCTGGCAAAATATAAAGAATTAAGTGGTTGTTCAAATCTTTTGCACAGGACTGGAACCAGACTGTCTGCTGTTATGTTCAACATGCGAGAGAGAGAATGACAGACACTGGGGACCTAGAGGGTTGGGTTATGTCTCGTCCAATCGACTTCAGTGATTAAAGCAGATGCCCGAAATTGAACCACAGATGTTTTCAGATGGTGCTGCTGCACCTTGTG